TACTGTATTTCGCAATATATGTCTTACATTTCATGTTTTACAACATGTAGCATAATAAAAGTGACAGTTTAATTTAACCTCAAAAGCTCCATGGGTACATATGTAATGTTTTAAACAGTGATGCATTTGTTGATTTTTTTGAGTAGCAGTGTTCCTTGAGTTAACAAAATGCAGAGCATAAGAAGTGATTTCATAATGCCAGATGCTCAGTGTTTAATATTTGATGTGGGTTTGAGCAAGAATGAGCTGATTAAGAAACTGCATAATTTGCCCTTCAAAAAGACTATTTTAATGAATACAAAGACAGAAACATGAACTGCCTGAACAGATTACCAGGTTGCCTTTGGCCTGATAGAAGATACAGTAGCCTGTGTCTGAAAGACATTAGAGAGAAGAGAATGAGATGTTGAATAATCAAAAGACTAGTCTAGAGAATCCAGGAAATTTGCATCGTGAGGAACAGGCTAAGGTTTGTAAAATCTTGTAATTTAACTACATTTATGTTAAATATTTGATTAAGCAAATTAGACATGGGTGTCTCATTTATTCTGTACATGAATATATAAACATTACTTCACAAATAGGAACAAGAGCATTAGAACACTAGAAAACTGGTAACTGGTAGATGGATCTCATTTGGATTTTAGTAAATGACGAAATCTAGTGTATATGAAAATCTCACTCAGCAAATTTTTGTAAATCCAGGAATTCGCTTTGACAACATCGTTTGGTAGCATGTACGAGACTCCCACAATCCTTTGAGTAAAGAACTGCCTCTTATTCTTGTTTAAATGTACCTGGATTGCATTGATGATCCCTGGTTTGTGTTTCGCTGTCAATTCTGAAGAAGTCCTTAGGATAGGGCTGACATTACTAATGCCGCTGACGACTATATGAATCATAGCCCCTCGTAGTGCTCTCTGTTTGAGACCAAAATAATTCAATTCTCTTTCTATCTGGTATTTCAGGATCTCATCACATTAGAGATTAAATCATCTAGAATACATTGCAGTGTATTTGGGTTCTTGGGCTTGTGCCCTCGCTGCTCCCGCCCCAGTTCATCCCTCACCGCATGGGCTCGAACCCAGGTCTCCAATGTCTCTCAACAGGGGTCTTGCCAGCTGAGCTAAAGAAGACCTTCCTCAGCCCAGGTGGCCAACATCCCTGTTACTGTTTGTGCAGGGGCATATTTGTTACACAATAAATAAAATTTAAAAATACATGCTAAAATATAATGTGATGTATGTATATAACTCTGCCTCATCTTCACTAATATTATTGGGAACCCCTACACTAGCTCTTCAGGTGCTCCATATGTATTTTAATATTTTATGTGCCATACTGTAGAAAATAGAAAACTAAAAAAGAAGCAGGAAAAGTATAGAACAGTATATTACTTCCCAACAGCACACACAAATTTGAAATAATTCAGGTAAAGCCTTGTTAACTTTTCATGTTCATGTGTGTACTTGTTATTTTAGTGCATCCTTGTTTTTTTACCCAGCTTCATATCGTTACAATACTTTGTAATTTACAATGCTTTATATGGTTTATTTTCTAATCCCATAAATGGGACAAGAATTCAGCCTTTTTAATTAAGTTAAAATATTCCCCTCAAGACTTCAACCACAAACCATCAAACCCAGAGCAAAAGATAATGTACGATAAAATGAATACTAAATACTGTCTTCTGGAATTCAATTTGATAATTAGAATGGAAACCACACCAGCATTACTGGACAAATAATATTATTTTACATGCATATTTAACCTGCTTATATTTATTATTTTGATCTTCACGTTTCATCAGTGAGCCTAAAGGCCCATACAATTAGTAGTATAGCCAAAGGAATAAGCTATGATGATATAAAAAGATAGGTCGACCTCAGTTGTACTCTTAGAGCCATTTCCTACCATCTTGAAGAACTAACATGGTTTACATATACAGTATGTATACAATATCTCAGTCCTTCTTGTCAAAGCAAAGATGTAAAAGTGCTAACCAAATGGGACCTTTGAATTCTGATTTTTGAACTAGTAAAATCACTTGAGTTTAGTTATCATTCCTTAGATGTACACCCCATTCATTTTCACAATGGCATCCAGTATGTTTTGTAGTGAAATGGATTTTATATTCATGGATGTATTTATTCCTTGACGCATCTTCATTAGGTGACATATTGTTTTATGCATTCTACACTGTGTACTCATTTATTTAAATTATATAACAAACCATAATGACAATTTTAAGTTTTTTTCATTGTCAGCTATTCATACCAGCACAAATCTAATATAGAAACATCATTCCCAGTTTGTATATTCAGAACACAAAGATTTAACTGATTATTTTTGTTTTGCTTATTTTCTGATGCTTCAAGTTTTTTTTTTTCTTACCACAGTCTTACAGGGGTCAAATAGCCAGCTTTCCCACCATCTGTTTCTGCTTAATTCCCAGCTTGAAAGGCCTTGAATCATGTTATAAATCCACAGATAGTGGTCAATGAAAGAAGAAAAACTCTTAATCTCACTGCCACAGGAGAGGAAGGAATTTGCATATTCACCATAGATTGTGTCACACAAAGATATTGTTTTTAGTGTATCCAAAATATTTCAGATAAGAGCACAAGTACATAAAAAAAGGTTAAAAATAATAAGACTCAGTAAGTTGGCAGCACTAATGGACAATGTTTAGCTGTCCATTTGCAGTGCACTGGGTTGAAAACAGTTTTCACCCATTTCTCACATCTGGCTTGATGTATCTGTGAAGTGTCTCCAAGGTAAACGTGCAACATCCGGAGGAAAAAAATTAGTTCTATATTCATTTAAATATTGGAACACCAGAGTCCTCAGAGACACCCAGAAGATCTCAACTTCAAAGTGAATCCCACCCCACCCCACCCCACCCCTTTGTCTAGTTCTGTTTAATATTCTTACACCGTGGATTTAGAACATCTGTGTTCAGGGCCAGAATGCTGATAGTATTTAAAATTAGCATTTTAATATTAATGAAGAGGTCTGGTTTTACATTTAAAACTTGGATTCTTATTGGGATTTCTTGAAAAGGTGTTCTCTAACAAGAAGAGGTTGAAAATTACCATGCTCTAGTCGGTGCATTATTAATATTCTGAAAGTGACAGCAGGAAGAGAGGTTTTTTTTTAGATAAAATACATAATTGAATTGCCTAGAGAGGTCTGCATCACTCTGCATTAATTTATAAATAACCAGATGAATCTATTTTAAACTGAATAACGTTATTTGTAGTGTCGGAAGTTGCATATTAAAATGGAATTTTACAGATTAGGCTTTGGTAATTGAAGAATTACAACATAACTTTATTGGGTTGAGATGTATTTTTCCGCTCCCGAGCTTTTTTTTACACCTGAAACTGAAATGATTCTGTCATCCCTGAATGGAATGTACTACCTACCTGAATGGTGACTTCACTGCATGTTGTAAACCTGCTCGGCTGAAAAGTAGACCAGACTCCTCCCTTGACCGTGTGACAACATGACTTGGTATCTCTGTGTGTTAAGGGACTGCAGTAAATACAGTACATTAGAGGCGGGGATTGACCTCCCTCGCTCTCTAAACATCACTAATCCAGTATTTCAGGTGCCTGGAGTGGATCACGGCTCACTACCGCCGCTTAACAACAAATACTACAGTACATTGATATACAATCAAGCGGCGGAATACGGCGAATGAAGGGGAAAATTAGAAGTCGTAAACTGGTAGGATCAAAGAAGAATGAAATTAGACTAGTGTAAAGCTCGAGTGTTTTGTAGTTTTTTTTAATCACTAGTACTATTTTGTGAATGGTTTCTTTCCGAAATGTTCTTTTTATTCTCAACCTTGCTTTAGCTACTGATCCAAATCGTCGGTGAAATCTTTTTTGAGCTGGAAACTAGGACCAGGAATTAAAAATATGTCGTTAACGGGTCATTCAAGAAGCTCGATGGTTTTGCTCTTTTGAAAGGTAGACGCGGACGAAAGAAATTTGAATGCCTTTTGATTTTGAATAGGAAGGTAAGTCTTGACAAGTAAACTTTTTATTCGCCATTTTTAGTTTCGGCAATGCGCATGTGTCGGATATCCCTACCTGAACCAGGTAAAGGAAAAAGAACGCGAAACGTATGTTTTGAAATCAGGTAGAACAAAACGTAAGTTATTAACAGGTTCATTCCGAAATATGCCAATACCATTATTCTCGTAAACCGTCATTAATGATAACTTATTCTGTTCGCACAATAACATACTTCTTCGGCGGACCATAGCTTGTAAAATTTCTTAATGTAACGAGGTCATATTTTTTGTATAAGTTTGTAAATTATAGTTATATTTAAGTAAACATGCCAGCAATTTGTTTTAAATAAGTAGCTGCAGATGATAGACTAATATTATTTCTTTGTGACAACATTCCTGATTTATTTACCTTGCTATTGCTACTGCTTTGCTGCAAAGAATCATATTCAGAGCACCCAGGAATGCATAATAATTCCACCGAGACAATTTACACGGGGGATTGAGAAGTGAAGTTTTATTATGTTTTAAGAAATGCACAAGAACTGGAACAGTGTAGCAAGTTTCTGTGGAATGTATTCACATATTTCGGGACGGCCCACTTTAAATTGCATTAGTAAATACACTCCGCTGTTTTACTTACGTTCAAGAGTAAAATAAACTAATGTCGAGTGATTAATCCAGATATAGTCTGGAGTGTTTAGTTTCGGATAGACTTATGTAATTAAGCAGTAGATCAGCGTTGTTTTAATGTTGCTTAATAACGTTTTCGGGAGATATATCGCCGAAGAAATCGCAAACGACTGCATTTATGTGTTATAATCTTAGTGATATGGAAAAAAAACGCAGGGCTTGTTACGTTCCTTTTTAAAGCTGAACGCAATGTATGTATGATGAATGCAGTGTGATGATACTATGTTGGTGTACATGTGCAGTATCCAGTGTTTAAAATGTTACGGCTTTACCACAGAAACTGCTCTTTGACAGTTGTTCTGCAACAGGTCTGCGCCGAAATTATTGCCTAGGTTGGTTCTGTAAATAGAATATGTTTTTTTTCTTTTCTGTCCTTGTTGATCTGATAAAAATGAGGCTTAAAAGAAGAAGGAAAAACAATTTAGAGCACTCATAATTGTTTGAGAACACCTCTGCAGTGACTGCTGGTAGCTGAAGACTAAGTCTTTTTCCCCACATGAACAATGAATTAACTGGGTGTAACATATCTAAGTGGGACGATGATGTAAATGGGACCGAGCTCAATTTAACTGAAGAGTTCAATCACACCTGTGAGAAATGGAGAAATATAGTTCACCCTTTGCCTATCAAATGCTTAAGAGGGTGAATGCAGACTTCACGACTACAGTCCATTTCTCTCTTAAATGCTTTTCTCAAGCATTTAAAAATGGCCTGTGTTTTAAAACATAATGATAAGCCGTGGAATGCCATCCCAAAAATGTTAGAAAGTTAGCCTTAAATCATAGGTTTAATATGCTGTATATATACAATTCTGTCATAGATCAAAGGGCTTGGTTGTTTTATAATTTTTCAGGTTTAAATCTATCATTACCTGAAGAACAGTAGATCAATATGATGATATTGTTCTGCCATTAAGCATTATCTTCTCTCCTTTCAAGAAACAATATTCAAAGAGCTACTAGCATTCAAACAAACTAGATGGGCTGAGTGGTCTTCTCATTTTTAACTTTTTGTTCATTCTTACACATGCAAAAGGGCTGGATATCGGCTCCCCAAGACTTTCACACTGAATAAATGCTCTCTTGGTTATAGAATTATTGTTTAATCTGTCTCACTTCCGCATAGGACAATGTGTAGAATATTGTAGAATTTTCTGAAGCCTACTCTTTGACAATTAGCTGTGCTTCTTTTCCATTTAGGTCAGTTTTTGTTGGTAGATGAATTTTAAAGAGTCTTTAAAACAGAATTATACAGTTGTCTTCAAGATCTTAACACTTCTTTTAGCTTAGAATGTGTGGAATTGAATTGTCTGACAGGTTGTTTTAATGTGATCTGTTTTTGCTAATTTGCCTTTGCTTGTGCTGCATACCATCTCTAGAGATGGCAGTTTTCAAGAGCTAAAATTTAGATGCAGTCAATAAATATAGTAAAACCATTTTGAACAGCTGATTGCTCATTCCTGTGTAAATGTATGTATGACCCATTTTGTTCAAAGCTCTTAAATATAAAAATATTTCAAGATAAACAGTTACATATTGCTTGTATATGGTACAGTATTCAGTTATTTTAAAATAAGTACTTTGGAATGTCTAAAATGTGTTGACCCATGTAATGTAATTTGTAACATTTTTAACAAGTTCTATTTTCTTGTTACTGTATGAATGTTTTAAACCTTATACACAAGGTTTAGCTGATTATTTGAAAAGGGGGTTAACAGCAAGCTTAAAAAGTTGAAAGGTAATTATTAAATTTCCTTAAAAAATGCCATTTGACATATGGCATCTATAACCCAGTCAATCAATATATGGATTTTCATAAATGACCATGTGCTTATATTTTTCCACCGATATACTGGTGAAAACAATATGGAGCAATCCTTCCTTGGTAAAGACAGTATTTCATTCCTTACAAGAAGATATAGAGAAAATAGTTGCACACAGTTTTTAGGATAACATTATCAAACAGGTTGTCTCTTCTGAATTGCAAAATTAGATTTAAAAAGACCCCAAGTTTCTCATGAAGAATCAAATTGGGGTAAATAATAATAATACGGGTGGGGCAGTGGCTCTGTGGCTAAGAATCTTCGCCTGTGGTTGAAAGGTTGCCGGTTCGAATCCCATGACTGGCAGAGGAATCCTACTCTGTTGGGCCCCTGAGCAAGGCCCTTAACCCCAACTGCTCCAGGAGCACCATGTAAATGGCTGACCCTGTGCTCAGACCTTGAGCTCCTCTCAAGAAATTGTATATGGCCAATAAAGTAATCTTAACAGGGCAAATTTTAGAAATCACAAGCTTAGCATAACAATCTACTGTGTAGGGATTTAGCCTATTCAAGACCTGTCAACTGGACATCACACTCTAGCTGAACTGTATATTCTAGGTTTACAAATGCTTGAAAGACAGATTTAATCAGAACTATGAGATAAAACAGAAAGGTTAAGCAATTTCCATAGTGGCTAACATATGACAAGGAAGGAGTTTTATTGGATGTACTGAAAAGTGTTCTAAGATTACTAAGAATTATTCAGATTTACTGAAATGAAAGGGGTAAAATGGAGTGAATAGCAATCCTTTTTAATGCCGACAAATTCCAAATCATCTTGAACATACTGTAGCAGCTCTTTTCAGGCGAACCGTAGAGCCTTTTCATGTTCTTGTGTTATTCTTTTGAGTATAATGAGTATTTTCTAGAAATCTTGAATTGCTTCTTCTGTATTTTAAATGTGGCCTATGGTTTTTCCTGAGCGAATATGTAGAAGCCAGTGCAGACTGTCTTAAAATGAAACAGGTAACGTAGGCCCAGACCTGTGAAACTTTGACATGTGAATCTTGAATATAATTTTACTCAAATTTCGAAAAATAAGAAAAAAACGTTGGCAGTAGGTTTGAAGTCACATTTATTGGCAGATCTTTGGGAAGTAGTCAACAATATAGGAAGTTGTCTGAATAAGGCCCAAAGGATGTTGGATTTAAAAACAGGCCTCAGAGTTGTGTTCCAGCAATTATTTTACAGAGCACACATAGACAATGCTGGACGTCGGTGTTATTGTCAGAAAACTGTGATTCAGAGGAGCAGCGTTGACCAGTTCAGATTCGCAGGATTTGAAAGCAGTAACCATGTACAGCTGTACAGAGATCAGTAGTAATGGAGAAGCTGAACAGGAAACTCTTGCTGCATTGTTCTTGGGAATGTCTGGTTTCATCTGGTGGGGAAACTGGATTTTTAGCATTTCAAATTCAAATGCTGGTCATGTGGTGTTTCTTAAGCCTTTCCCAACAAACTGTGCTTTTACTTCTTTTTTTGAAGAAACTATGGTTTTATCATTTTATGTGAGAGTTAAAAAAGGCTTTAATTTATATTAACTACTGATAAAAATTTATACCAGATTACATATTTGATCTTAAAAGAACATAAATTCTCTGATAGAGTCATCTTCAGTTGTTCTTATTTTATTGACTTTATTGAATATATATGAGCTTAGTACTCTTACACATGCATTTTTCCTAATTATTTAACGATTGTAGGTGTTACCACAAGGACACTTTCTTTTGCCCACTCAAAATCACTGTTCTTTTTCCTTATAAGAAGTACTTTGTATTTATGCAAAGGAACAAGTAATAGGTTTATTCCATGCTGAAAAAAAGAAGAAAAAACAATGTTTCGGCCATGGAGCCTTCTTCAGGTGTGAATTATGTATTTGCTTTTTGAGCTCTGTATTTATTATGGATTTACTTTTTGAGAGTTTTCAGTTGTTTTAAGGAGGCAATTTATTTCATTCCACAGACTTCTGCAACTTGCTGGTGAAATTGTTCGGTATGTTCTTAAGGCAGTTTACGACATTTTCAATGGTGAATTTTGCAAGTTTGGTAAATATTACACTAAAAGGTATTCTGTGACAGGCTTTGTTTTTTGCAGTTGTCATTGCTAAAACTCATTAGAGGGCAGTCTCTTTGTAACAACTCCTTTTATGCTGTGTAATGATTACCATTAGCTGAGAAGATGAACTGTAGTTGTCCAAGCTATTCAAAGGTGACAAAGCAAATATGATTATTCCATGCTGAAAAGAGAAGAAAGAAAACACAACGTTTCAGCTGTGGAGCCTTCTTTGGGTGTGAAGAAGAAGGTCTTTCTTCTCTTTTCAGCATGGAATAAACCTATTACTTGTTCCTTTGTAGCCTACGCATGCTGACGCAGCTACCCACTTGAACTAAAGCAAATATGATGTCCAGTTTCTGGAACTGCCTTCCTACATTCATAAGTCTTACACTTAAAGTATTGGATTATTCAATTACCTTTCAATGTACAGCTATTA